ATTCATTCATTCATTCATTCATTCATTCATGGTGTGTTTCTTTACTTCGTTACTTCCCGCAGGTTTGTTCCAAGCCGCGGGTGGCTGGAAGAGAGGCCCCCCCGGGGGGCCTTTCGTTCGAGACTGTTGCTTCCGAACCAGCAGAAAAGACACAAGCGACCCCAAAAAAAAAGACACAAGTGAACCCCAAAAAAAAGACACAGGTGACCCCCCTTCCCCTGCAACAAACCAGGGAAGCCCAGGCTAGGACACCTCTTCGTCAACAAAGCACCAGCACGGCGCTTGGCTGTTCGATCACGGTGTCTACCTACGTACAGTTATGGCCTGACTCAACGACCTGTACTCGCTCCCCTTGCCTTGGACCAAGGTCATCATCGACTGATCTGGCATGGCCACTGGCAAACAGGAAGTGTTGGCCACCGCGTCACCACGTGAGGATTAGCCCAGCGTTAAACGAATCCGGGAGCTCGGCGATGGGTTCACATTGACCACGGTCCGCTGCGGTCAATTATGGTCAATTTTATTTACCCATGGACTCAAAGCTACATGCTGGTACCTAAGACGGAAGGGGCAGGCGGCTGCATGGGGCTCGGGAGTAGAGCGCCTGCTCCCGCTTCAGGACATCCTCAACAGCAAGCTTCAACCATGTTCAACCTCTGGGCTAGTGCTGCTGGCTCGAACTTTGGAATCTGTGAGGATGCACTGCGCAGAACTTCTGTATCTGCTGCCAAGCTTCGTAGCCAAACTTGCTTCTCTCAGCATCCTTCATCTCGGGAGGGTACCATTTGCCATACCTCGGCCCCGCCGCATGCTGCTCTTCAAAAACACTTCGGCGAACTTGAAGGAACAAGCAGCACGGCCGTGTACATGGCGATTGCAGCAGAGCAGCTGGTGAAAGCTCGTAGCAGGAGCAAACACCTTGGTCTGTCACTTGGCCCTCTAGGAGTTACAGCTAGTGCAGCTAGTGCTCGCTGCCATCCTCACCAAAGATGGCATCCGATGCTGCTTGCCTTGGCGCCCGGCCTCTCCCTGCGAATGCTTCGTTGCATCTTGCTGAATCTGCGGACCGTCAGGAAGCCTTTACCATGCGCATGGCGCATCGATTTAAGCGCGACTTGCGATGGGCAAAGATCTATAGAGATGCGTCGGGCCGCCGGGCCTGGTTCTGAAAACAGGAAGGAGAAGGAAGTCACCGCACGCACGTTCGATGCCTCTTCCTCGCATGGGGCATCTTCCGTAAAGAAGACCTCGTCACAGGACCAGACGGAATGTCGGCAAACCTTCAAGCCAGTCCTGGCATTAGCGGCGCCAAACTCGGCTAAAGGAAAGGCTCCCATCCCATGCGCCCATGTGGAAACATGATTCAGGCAATGGCCAGCCTTGTAAGCAGAAAGGGTGAAAGCGATGCATGTCCCCGTCCCAGGCAATTCGTAGATTTTACTGAAGGCAGTTTAAGACTGTAAACACGAAACTGGCACTGCACGATGCCGCGGACGTAGCTTTTTCCTCTGGTCTAGTTCGCGGACTTGCAGACTCACCGTCACATGTGGAACAATGTGAGATGTGGACGAACTGCTAACTGCAAGCAGCATCCAAGAAGAGGAAGGTCGGCCCGTCGGGGGGTGCAAGAGCAAGAACGTCTCCGCGCTGCAGCACGAGAGGTTGTGGCAAGAAGTCGCCTTTGGGCAGCTGCGCATCATTTACCGCAGTGCCACTAGCACTGACATCTTCGACTGTCACCGTGCCAGAACAGCAAACTAGTACACAGTGTCGGGTCTCCACTACAGGACTCTGCACAGGAATTTCACAGCCAACGCATCGACCCAGAGCCACAACGCCATTGCTGGGAAGCACGTGCAGCATTCCAGTTGCAAAGTCGACCAAGCGTGGCTCGCGCGCGGAAACATCGAGCTCGGCTGCAGCGATCGAGAGACGCACGAGCTTCGAGGCAGGAGTGAGATCCTTGATCACGGATGATGGGCCTGCAGACTGGCAAGCTTTCGGCGTGCCAGGCAGGCTGTGCACATCTGCATCTTCCGGCTCAGACTGAAGCCGCTCAGGGCTTCGCGCATTCAGGAGCTGTTCACCTCCACTCAGGACTTCTCGTGTAGGGAGCACTGGCATCAGGATGCGGCGACGCTTGCCAAGCCAGCTGGCTGGGCCGGCGCCGACATCCTCCGAACATGCTTTCGACAAAGCTTCGGATTCACCGGTCGTCTTGCGGCTGACGGTGTGCTGCACCGCTGCCCTCGCACCGGATAGCTCTGACATGGAAGTCTTGCGACGGCATCTCTTCCAGATAGAAGCTGGAACTTCGTGTTTGGACGGAGTTGGTAGCTCGAGTGGCCTCCAGGGTCAAAAACGGCACCGCCGAAGCAACATCAATTAGTTGTGACAGGAACACGAGGTAGAACTCTACGTCACATGCGGCTTTTAAACTGTCCTGGCAGAGAAAGAGATAGGTAGCTTCGCTACGGGATGCCCAAGAAGATGATGTTCCCTCTTGTCCAAGAAACCCAAGTTGGAACACACGGCCGTTGAGGGCGTCGTCAGAGCGCCGGCTGCATCATCGAAAGACCCTATGTCTGCGTGAACCCACAGCCGGTGTGGATCTGGAGTCTTTGTTCTCAAGCGCTTTGTAACTGCACTTAGGGGCAAACGTGCCGCCTGTGAAGCCGTGGACTCCAAATGCTTCCGTAGTTGAGCTATGATGGCTCTTCTCCTGAGCTTGTGCGCATCGACCAGCGGCATCGTGCTGACAGCTCTAGGCAAAAGTGAACAAAAACAAAATTCTACACTGCGCGCCTGAGGCACCCAAGTTTCCGCTGAGGCGGCTTGATGTTGAAATCGCGACACCAGTCTTCCAAGACCGAGGTCGATGCAGATTGAAGTTCGACGTCTGCCATAAGAGAGCAGCTGTTGGCCGTCGGCCAGGCTGAATATTCTCCACTGACGAATTACTTGCACGAATTAAACCTGGATACGGCCATCTTTCCTTCAGCATCAGCATCCAAGCCTGTATGGCCGCGTATCGAGCATGTTCGCTTGCTGACAATCCACAGCGTATTAGCTTCTGACTTGTACTGTCCTGCCTCTCTTCACTCGTCAAGATCCTTTCATGGCAACCGTCAAAAGAAAGTGAGCTTAGCATCCGCTAAAATAGTCACTAGCATGCCCGGCATTGAAGCACCAACCTGCAGTATCCGCACCTTTTTGGATCTGCAGTCAGCGCACGCTGATCTTTCGATCTCAATGGAACGTAAGTCAAGATACATGTAGCATGTTTTCGGTCGATTCTGTCCTCAACACACACACACACACACACAGACCAGCTTTCAAATGGGTCTGGGACCTAGGACGCAGAGCAAGGAAAGAAATACAGAGCGGTGCATGTTGCCCACATCATAATGATCTGGAGCATGCCTCCAAATCGCACAAAATCACTGAAGGTGTAGTTGCCAGCTTCTACAACCAGAATGTTTGAAGGGGAACCGAGGGGTGTGGCAAAGGAAGCATTCGCAGCGAAAATGACCAGGAATAGCAGTGTCTTCTCGTCTATCGCCTCGCATCCCTCAGACTGCTGTAGCTGCTTCGCAACATGCACGGCCACCGGAATCATCATCACGCACGTGGCAGTGTTGCTGATTATGTTGGTTAAGAGTGCAGTGCCAGCGTACACCATGCAAAGAACTCCAAATGGACCTGAATGCAGTCCAACATTCAACAATGCATTTGCCAGAGCAGCTGCGGCTCCAGTTCGTGTCATTGCTGCAGAAATGCCGAAAGAGGCAGCAATGGTCATCATTACGCTGCCATTGACGCCGAGCATTGCCTCTCGCCAGCTGAGAACCTTTGCACAACAGCAGAAGAAGTCCAGCGCCAAGATCGCCGTTGCCAAGGGAAGGAAGCCGAAACCGTTCAACCCGATCGCAAGCATGAAGCCACCCAAGCACAACAGGCCCCGGAGTCTGTCCTGCTGCCGACCCCTCCGCGGGGGTTTCGAGGACTCGACGGCTGCTATCACCGAGAAATCCGGCAGCCTGTCCAACGTGTCAGGAAAAGCCTCCAACAGCAGAACATCCCCCTGTGCAAGCTGACTTGGGTTACGGGCTTCGACATCTGCGGCTGCATCACTTGAGGATGCGCGCACAGCAAGAATAACCGACCCAGCTTTGTGAAGAAGCCTCTCCTTTTGCTTGACCAACGGCTCAGTCACGAGGGCAGAGTTCGCAGCAACCACTGCTTCGAAGAGTCGTCGGTGTCTCCTGTGAGGGCCCAGTGTTGCAAGGTCTTTGTGAACTGCCGGCTCCAGGCCGTCGTAAGACTTGCGCAGCCGAGCAATGCTTGCTGCGCTGGCGGACACCTTCACTAAATCTCCAGCACAGAGTGGCGTGCCAAAAGTATCTGGCAAGGCTTCGCCGTGGCGACGAATCTCCAAAACCAAAACGTCGGGCAAACGTGTCAAACCCATATCATACAAGCTACATCCTATCGATGGACAGCGGCTTCGAACCACGAACAGAATGCGGTACCTGCGCAGTTGATCTTGCTCAACATCAGGCACCACCTCCTCATTTCCAGACTGGGTCTGCTTCGAGGAAAGTCGGGCTGGTTGCGCGTCCCCACTTTGAGGCAATAACCTGGGGCCAGCGATCAGCATATAGCACAAGCCCAGCAGGCCCAAAGGAGCAGCATAAGGCGTCAGATCGAAGAAGCCGATGGTGACAGGTGGATCCAGAGCTCGAGCCCGATCATGTGCCAGTAGATTCGCCGCAGAGCCGATGATGGTCAAAGTTCCACCCAAGGTCGATGCAAATGCAAGAGGCATTAGCAGCTGCGCGGCTGAATGTCCGTGGCGTTGTGCCCAGGCCTGTACTATCGGCACCAGCATGGCCACAAGTGGACCATTGTTGAAAAATGCAGACAGCACGGCAACAGGTACCGTTATTCGGAACTGTGCCGCCAGGAGCGTTCTCGGGCTTCCCAAACAGCGGGAGATTATTGCATCCAGTACTTTGACCTGTACTGTCCACAGCTAACTTTGTATCCAAGGGGTTGAAATGAAATTTCAAGTCTCTTAACTGCATACCACAAAACGCACAAGGCATGCACAGGAACCCTGCCCGAGTCACTTCTGCAAAGGCTTCCGAGAGGACAAACAAGGCGCCGAATGCGAGGACGCCAGGACTGGAAAACCCCGCAAATGCCTCTCCTTCAGTGATGATTCCCGCCAGAACGTAGACTACCGTCAAGGCTAACAGCACTGCTTCTGGGGGGAAGCCGTCTGCAATAAGAAGTATGCCCATGCAAATGCTGTCCACCACGACATATGGCTTCCACCTATCAGTTGCCGCAATGCCAAAGTCTGGCGGGCAGAAGCGCTCTGTCGCCATACTCATAGCGATCAATGCCAGCAGAACCTCACGACCGTTGGAAGTCTGTAATCAACCCAATGATGGCTCTGGAACAGCTGCTTAGGTGACATGCAGCACTTGTTCATTTAAAACGATGAGAAGGAAAGCCATTCAATTCAAGTTGCGATTGTGCGCTTTGGCGTGATCTCGCGCCGTAGATGATCTTGGATCCTCAACTGCCGGGTCAGTGGGACAGCAGCAGCTGATGGAGCCGCATCGCTCGCGGCCCGGGACCAGGCTCCAATCAGCTGGAGGCTCGGGCTAGCATCCATGGAGAGGGGAGCGCGACACGGAGGGGCCCACAACGCTCTTGACACCCGAGAAGACTGCATAGATTCTGAGTCGAGAGCGAGATATGTTAGCAGTTAGCCCAGATGGAGCAGGCGGTGAGGGCTCAAATTTTCGCTCGATGTCAGTCTTTCGGATCCATTCAGTTCACATGCGGCGCAGGATGCTTGACAAAGCAGAGGCGAGTCCGTCTTACCGGTCCAATTAGGACTGGCAGATCATGCAGCATACAAAACACACGCTGCCAAACTTGATGCTAGCGTTCTATGTAAGGCTAATTCGTCTCAGGGAGGCAGCTTGAACCCCAGATCAAAAGTTGTCCTTTACCCTGGACTGGGCCGACAATGCCATGTACTGCCAACCTGTAGACGTCCGACTGGAAGTAACAAATCTCCTCCACATGACTGGGTTCCAAGCCATCCCCTGCCAAAGTTGCACAGAATTACGTGGATCAGCTCATGTCATATCAGACCTTGAGCTTTCACACACGTGCGAAAAATTTGTCAAGTCGAAAACCTATGCGCCCACTTATGACTTGAAGCCTTATCACAATTCGCAATATCAAATTCGTACCTGCGCGGCCGAGTCGACTTGACCACAAATGCCTGCTGCCATTTCGGCAGGAGGCCTTTACAGTTCACGGGATGGGAACTGAAAGTGCAGCTCACGCCTGTTTCCCGCGATAAGAGAATCGCAACGTCAAGTAGCCCGAGACCAAGGCCAACATGCCGAAGACACCACACGAGATGTAGGCTGCAGTCACGTATCCAAGATACTCACCACCCAGTGAAAGAATTACGCTCTTGTAGCCCTCAACGATGTCGATGGCGAAGTCGATGACTGCTTCCTCGCCACCTTGCAAGTCAATGACGGCCAAATAATTCTCACCGATCGCCCATGTAAAAGGTGACAAGAAAGATAAGATCTCCTTGAAGGTACCAGCCGCTTCTGCAACTGTTTGTGGCTCACTGATGCCACCGCCCATGATCAGGATCGTGACTGCAGTCGCCAATGTTGAGCTGTGCTCTGGAACTACGGCTGAAAGAAGAAGACCGATGCCGGCAGAGCTGACTGCCGTCATGCGGAAAGCAATCAGCCATATCCAGTACGGGCATGGGGCTGAGGCACAGGCCATCCAGACCGCTGTGTAGATGTAGGTCCACAACAGCACGTCAAACAACGAAACGCTGATGCGCGCGAGGAAGAAAGCAATCACCCTTATTCCGCTGGCGCTTTCTCGCCAGAAGGTTGGCCGATCAGCCCCAAAGATTTGCAAGCAAGCTATGCCGACCATTAGCCCAACTGCCAAGTGCGAAAGGTTAATCTTCAAGGGGCACAAAATGTTCCCAGGCACAAGCTTGTCGGTACACTGTGCTCCGAACATAATCGCAGCGGCTATGACCAGCAAAGTGCTCAGTGTTTTCTGCTGCCACAATCGAACCCAACGAATTGCATTTTGGTGGAGCAAGACCCGGTACTGTGGCCAGAAGTGCGCCCTCTTTCCCACCATCTTCTTATCCACCGTTGCTAGTGAACTGGCTCCTGAAACCATGGATGCCTCAGATGCTTCCATGTCTTTTTCCCAGTCAGGCAGGTCGCTCAATGCATCGTTTGAAAAGGAACTTCTCAAGCCCAAGAGGAAACGCGCCAGCCCGCGGCGGCTGACTGAGTCATCTTGAAAGCCAATCCGCTTCTTCATCTCTGCAAGTGCAGGCTCCGAAGGCGAGATGCCAGCTGACTGGAGAATTTGCGAGAAGTGCCCACCACTGATGGATCTGACCTCACCCAGGCCAAGCAGCTCAAGCTTTGAGTCAACCGCATTGTGGAACTTGAACTTCTCATCCGGATTTGTTGCATGACGATGTCCCATGGAACGCTCTGGGCCTTGCTTGGCTTCTTTCCAGCGACTGGCTAGCTCTGTTTGTTTGCGGGACGGGGATGGGGCCCCTTCACTTCGGACTTTTCCGGAAATCACGTCCATGAACCAATCAGCCGGGTTTTCGTGCTGAGGAATGGGAAATCCGAGGCTTTTGAAGTAAGGCAACGCACCAGTGCTTGGGCCGAGGTATACGGTCTGGCCGCCCAGGCCGAGCAGTAGCACCTCGTGGAACAGCGTGAACAGCGAATATCGTGGCTGGTGCACAACCATGACGACAGTCATGCCGATCTCCGTGAGCTTCTGCAACGACCGAACAATGTCAAGGGCCGTAGTGGCATCTAAACCGGAGGTCGGCTCGTCCAGCATCAGGATGGTGGGCCGAGCTGCAAGCTCCAGTCCTGAGGCGATGCAGTTTCAGTCCAAGACACTTTGCCATAAGTACTCTCCGCGACAGTAGTGGCAATCACGCATCCAGAAAATCCCTCCTAACGCTGATGCTCTGCACCCATCGCTGCACGGGAGCCCCTCCGTCCCAATGAAGCTGCCCAGCAGAAGACAATACATACTGGGCGCTGCCGCCAGCAAACACTCACAGCATCTCGCTACCAATTTTTTTTCTGCAAGAAGTGCTTTCCAAGGATCCAATGTTGACACGCTTCCGCTGGCCACCACTTATGCCACGAGTCTCCACATTTCCCACCAGACTGTGCTGAACGTCAAGCAGCTGCATCACATTTAAGACATCTTCGACGATGCTGTCTAAGACTTCCGGCGCTGTTCCTTCCGGATTTCTCAGCTTGGCAGAGTAGAAGATCTGTTCACCTCAGCCGTAGATTCGACGTGTGTCTCGGCAACAATCTCTTCATGGCAGTAACACGGACATCTATCGCAGCGGGCGTTTGACATCTTGCACCATCTTGCAAAACTCGGTGGCATCACACTTTCTATTTTTATGGAGCTTCGCCGCTGCTTCGAGAGACGTTCAGCCGAGAAGCGAACAGTCAGATGAGCATGGACAATGTCATCCTGAGGAACGAAGCCTCTCAACGGCTTGAACTCGGCAATGCTGGCCGTCCGACCATTTAGCCGAATCTCCCCGCTCACTGTCCTGCCGGTGCTGTAGGGACGCAGACACGACAGGACAGCTAACTAGAATCTCGATTGCTGTAAGTTCCCTTTGCCGTTCATCCGTTAGCTAACCGTGATTCAGGCAAGGTCAATGTATGGCATCTCGCTCAATCTGGTCGCTTACTCTCTCCTTGCTTTGCCCCCTCTACATGACTTTGCAAAACAAACACTATCAAATGCTGCGCCGGTCCCGTAGTATGCCCGACCGCAGAGAGCATTCATGAATGTTGTTTTGCCTGCCCCAGATGGTCCCATGATGGCCGCCACTCTCTTGGGTTGGAACTCGCCTGTCACACCCTCGAGAATGCACTTCCCATTGGACTTTAACTTCACACCCACGTTGTCAAATCCGATGTGAATCGAGGACATCTTCAGATGCATTCCGCGAAACCGGTAATCTGGCACAGTGGCATCTGGCACCAGGTTGTGCACCAATTCCACTGAACAGCGCTCACACTCTGCCAAGATCTCTGAGCGTCTGGACTGCTGCTTGCGCCCGATACGGTTCAGGAAAGAGTTCACACCGATTGCAACATATCCAGCAGCTACAAGCAAGAGTACGCACAGCTCCCAAGCTTGTGCCGCTTCCATCTCTAACCCCGTCGCCTCTTTACGTCGGGACACCTGAAACTTTGAGCAGACACGTTCACCGAATCATGGGCATGGAGCGGTTTGAAACTGGGCCTTGCTGTGCGACTCAGAGGCAGCAGCTCCCGATATCCGCATGTTTCGCATTCTGTGCAACCATGACTCCACATGTTCCTATGTAGGATCTGTTGACCCTTCGCATTCCTCCAAAGTCCATTTCGGACTGGGACGTCGTGCACCTACTCAAGTCGCCAGTTCCAAGGATCACCGAATTTGCGGTTTGCAGTTCCTGCCAAGGAAAATGTTGTTTGCACAACCCTTGGCTGAAATTAACTGCACAATGCACCACAATCGTGCCTTGACGGCTAGGTACTGGTACTGCCCATGCAATGAGATAACTATAGTTATAAATTACGTGGACTTCAGGCAGTGACGACGAGCCAATTCACAAGCTGGTTGGCCAAGGCGATTGGGGTGCAAAGCCTCCTCCAAGAGGCAAAAATGCAAGACAAGGCGTTGCATGTCTTGATGCCGGCACGAATTTGCCAAAAGACTGCAAATGGTTTAGGCTTGCTTGCCACGGTGAGAAAACCGCAGCCCAAGATACCCAAAAGTCAACCCGAGAACACCGAAAATGCTGCAGGAAATGTATGCTGCAGGAAGGTAATCCAAATTCTGGCCGCCCAGGTTTATGGACAGCAGGACATTGCGGTAGCCATCCATCATGTCTAAGGCGAAGATGTTCACGTTATCCTCGCCCCCGAACTCTGCGATAACTGCCAAGTAGTTCTGTCCAGATGTCCACGTGAATGGGGAAAGGAATGCTAATACTTCGTTGAAGCTTCCTTTCGCTTCTGCAACAACTTGAGGTTCACTGATGGCACCTCCCATAATGAGCAAAACCACAGCTGTTGCCAATGTCGAGCCGGACTTGGGGATCAGGGTCGAAATCAAAACGCCAATGCCTGCTGCGCTGACTGCAGTCATACGCAAGGCCACCAGCCAAAGCCAATACCCACATGGAGCTTCGGAGCTTACCTTCCAAACTGCAGTGAAAACGTAGGTCCAGACAAGCACATCGAAGAGGAAGACTGTCACCCTGGACAAGAAGAATGCGCTCACCCTGATGCCACTTGCACTCTCCCGCCAAAACACCATGCGATCAGATCCGAAGATCGGGAGGCAAGCAATGCCCATGAGGAGCCCAATAGCAACGTGCGAGATGTTGATCTTGATGGGGCAGAGGACGTTCTCCGGTATAAGCTTGTCCTTGCATTGGATGCCAAACACAACTGCAGCCAGCGACATCAGTGCCAAACTGAATGCCTTATGTTTCCAGAGCCTCATCCACCGAATGATGTTTTGATGGAGTAGGACAGGATACTGTGCACACAAGCGTGCGCGCTTTCCGGACATCTTCTCCTGGCTGATCTTGACGCTCCCAACCGTGCTGGCAGAGGCCTCTGAAGTTTCCATTTCTTTCTGAACATTGGCAATATCGCTGAGGGCGTCACTGGAGAAGGCATTGTTCAATCCATAGAGGAAGCTAGAGAGCTGCTCCCGGGAGATCGAGTTTCCCTCGAATCCGATGCGAGCCTTCAACTCCCGAAGGGCATCGGAAGATGGTTCCTGCACCCCGCTCACTTCCAAGAGTTTCAGGAAGTCCTCTTCGGTAATGGTATCCGAATCCAGGCCTGCGCCTGCTAACTTGGCAGCTAGAGCTTTAGAAAAGGTGAACAGTTCGGCTCTTCGAACCTGAGATTCTTCACCAAATTCAACGACAATCTCGGTGAAACGCTGAGCCCATACTTCTGCAAGCCCATCAGACTTCAGGTTCGGGTTGGTTTCGTTCTTCACCTTGCCTGAAATCACATCCATGAACCAATCGGCAGGGTTCTCATGCTCGGGCATGTTGAAATTCAAGCTGGTAAAATATGGCAGAACGCCTCTGCTGTTGCCGAGATAGACTGTCTGCCCTCCCAACCCCAGGAGGAGCACCTCATCGAACAGGGTAAATAGGGAGTATCGCGGCTGGTGCACCACCATGACCACTGTCATGCCAATCTCTGACAATGTTTTCAGTGAGCGCATGATATCCAGGGCCGTCGTGGCATCTAGACCAGACGTCGGCTCGTCCAACATCAAGATCGTCGGCCGTGCTGCAAGTTCTAAACCTGAGAAGCTTGGCAGGGATGGCCTTCGGCCAATCGACCAAAACCCCGATGCCGAGACTTATGCGTGCTGTGTGCGTAATGACGGCGTTATATCACCGAATCCCAACTTTACTCTTGCAGCGAACAAACACGTCGTGCATGGCCGACAAGCTCCACTATGCAACGCTATCCATGGCATGTCTCTCCGAAGTTTGAGATCTACTAAGCTACCATGCTTGAGTGACTCTGGTCCACCCCACAAAACCTTCCAACCAGCAAATTGAAGCCTCTTAGAATCAAGGAAGGGTGTAGCTTCACATGCGGATTCACCAAGCAACCAATGTTGACCCGTTTGCGTTGGCCGCCACTTATGCCTCGCGTCTCCTCCACATTGCCAACTATGCTGTGCTGCACATCTGTCAAGTGCATGACGTTTAGGACGTCTTCGACAATGTAGTCAATCACGCGGGCTGGCGTCTTGTCACGATTCCTGAGCCTTGCTGAATAGTAGAGCTGCTCACCTCGGTTGGCCAAAACATCAGGCTTTCCAGCCTTTCAAACCGACAGCTGTCACACGCACGACACGGCCAGCAAGACTCTACTCCTGCAAAAGCTCGAACATACCCCGTAAATCTAAACATGTCCAGTCACGAACCGTTAGATGTTCATGCACGATGTCGTCTTGTGGAACGAAGCCCCTCAGCTCCTTGATCTCAGCTATGCTGCTGACATGCCCGTTAATGCGGATCTCGCCGCTCACGTTCCTGCAGGGATGGTGCATGCATGGGGTGGGCCTTCCGTCTACCAGGGCTGCTACAAGCAAAACTTTTGAATCGAACCCCTGTCCCGTAGTATGCTCGGCCACAAATCGCATTCATGAAGGTCGTTTTCCCTGCACCGGACGGGCCCATAATCGCAGCCATCTTTCGAGGACGGAAGGCACCGGTGACACCTTCCAATATGCAACGTCCATTAGACTTCAACTTCACGCCGACATTGTCGAAGCCAACGTGAATCGCTGACATCTTCAGGCGCATCCCTCGAAACCGGTATTCCGGAAGAGCTGCCTCTGGCACCAGGCTGTGTGCTAAATCCACCGAACAATTCTCGCATTCACGCATTGCATGAGACACTCTGGATTGAGCGTGTCGTTGGCGACGATTGATGAATGCCACTAAAGGGAAAATCAAATACACAATCATAACAAAGACGAGGACGGCTTTCTCCCACCAATATGAATCCTCCTTGACCGCTGGGCTGTGCAAGCTGACCTCCATGGCCGCCGGGCTAGTCAAGCTGCACAAATCAACGTCGTGGGCCCGCCTCCCTCTCCATTCCGAACAAATAGCGGCTGCCGGGAAAAAAAGCGATGAACCCACACAAATGAAAATGTCTTCTTACGTTTCCATGTCGGTGCTGCCAACTCCAAACATTGTTCAAGAACTTCGGCCACCGCTACTGTGGCTTTCATGCTGGATAGGATGCACCGAGCCATGCCTCATAGTGCTGAGACATCTTTTTGCAAGCCTTCTCGTGTTGGTCCGCCAGCCATTACACACACGGAGACACACGGATCCGGGCACCGGCAATATCTGGCTTTCTTTCAAAACTCTGAGAAGAGTGCGTTGTCTCCGCGCTGTTTGTTTGTCTGTCCTCGGCATGTGGACGATGCCGCCTTCCCCCGCGCACGACGACGCTCAACCTCTGCCGAAAGTGCTTGATTTCTTGAGCACTCCAGTGTCGTTACGTAGTTTTTTCGCATTTTTTCGCTGCTGCGGCGGATCAAGCGGAAAAAAGGATGCGAAAAAACTTGAAAAAACAAATCCTGTGGGTGTTTGCCGGATTGGCCCGTCGCCGTCACGTGTACGGTTGTGTGACTGAAACACTCTGCACACTGGCAGGCCAGCGCTTGCTTTTTTCCGGGTGAGCTGCAACTGCAGGCAGCGATGCGTGGACACAGCAATTTGCAACAGAAGTATCAATGACGAGCATGTCGAAACCATGTGTTGTTCCGCGCATGCATTGACTGTAGCGCACCGCTCCCCAGTACACGCGAGCTGGGGGTAATGAACCTACAATGCGAAGTGTCCGCAGCACCACAAGCACAACGACCTTTGTTGCTGCAGCCTTTGCCAATTTTACTGCTGCCATATGCTACGATTGATATTGCAGCAGGCCTGCCGTCCCACTTCGTGATGATTTTTAAGTCGGGGTCACGGTTGGAAATGCGGCTTGTGTGTCTTGTTTTTTGGCGACTGTACTGCGCTAAACCACCGAAACATATCATATCGCAGATCTGCACTGACGCTGGACCGTTTCCTGCGGGAGCATCGGCTCCGCGCGGGACTTGCCAGCAGTTTGCGGTGACTGGGCGTCAATCATTAACACATGTTTGCTTGCAGGCCTCTAAACACTTCCTTTTTCTCTCAACACCCCTCATGCTTACAACGGGAAGTCCCACTGAAATCATATCCGCCTTACACAACCAAATTTTTTATATGAATTAAGGGTTGCGCCATGTCAAATAAAACGACGACTTGTTACACACTGCTTAATGCGGCGTTCAGCAAGTTCAAGCCCTAGCGAAAGGAATCGTGCTCCGTGCGGCCCCGTAATTTATCAAAACCAATACACGCCTTTTACTGCTGGCGGTCGCAGTGACTCAAAGGCCCTGCGGTTTTGGACCAGACAGGGGCAGCTGGAGCCAGGTCTTAAACCTAGTGAAGAACAGTCCGTGTTGACACTCCCAACTTGGTTTTTTGTCGGACCTTTTTCCCTGCAAAACTGTCTCGGTGCCTAACTGGCATTCAGTGGCTGGGAGCTGGCAGGCGGCTTTCCGCGACGATGTCTGCGTCGCGCGCCTGAGCCAGCAGGAAGCCCAGCGGAGGTGGATCACCGTCGCCTTTGAATCAAAAGCCTTAGGGACGCAGGTGAGCGGGTCGGCAGTTTATCGTTTCCCCTGAGCTGGGCGTAAAGCCGCAAAGCTCTCACATGCTTTCACTACACGGAAGGGCAGCCGGTTGAACCGTAGCTGCAAGGCGAGTTCGTGGCATCACATTTTATCACATTTTGAGGTTGGTAAAAGGACACGGGGCTCACAGGAGGTGCCAGACAGCACCATCGTTGTAGCAAATTGTAATCCCCACGGGCAGGAGGCATTGGAGTCCGAACCATTGGCTGTTCGTGCCAGTTGCGGAAGGTGCAGGCTGTCAGACACTTTGGCGAGCCCGTCGGCGTGCATCGCCTCGTAGATTCGTAGGTCCGATTCTTTTTTCTTCGTATGAAATCGCCTCGCCAAAGAAGTTTTTACAATCGGTCGCGTGGACATGCTGATCATGCTGTAAGGTTTTCAGGTTGGTCACCGGGCTCGCGGTGGAACCAAACACGACCTCGGACTTTCAAGATGCCATGTCGATGCTGCCGTCGGCCGCATGCGCCTCTCCTGCCAGCATGGAGCGAACCACGCATGGGGTAATTAGGCGTGCTTTTTCAGTCGAGGAGCTATCAGCGCTTTTAGTGTCGTGACACACGGGGAGGCCTTCCTGTCTCTTGTACACCTGGGCGTTTGCTCATCAGCAGTCGCCGTCGATGATACGCTGCTCATTGATGGGGATCCCATGAAGGACCAACCCATCGGAGTGCGTCCGTGCGAAATACTTGGACAGAGCTTAGTGGCTTCAGCTCTGCGAGGGTCAACTCGTTTCCGCGGTTCATTAAAGACACCGTGGCGGCACCGTCAGGACGCGTCTGCCCCACCAGCTATTGGAGGGCTCCGCGGACAGAGCGAAACTCTGAAAGCTCTGCTTTTATAAGCTTCGGATGCTTCGGGTCCTTACGACCTCTCCTCTGGCATGTCACCTTCCCGCGAGCACTGGTGCGGATGTTGTTCGACAGTGTCACCAGGAGGACGAAAAACGCAATTTTGTTTGACGTCTTAGCCAACTTGAAGAAAGTCCAGGCGGTCGGCATAGGATGGTATAAATGATTATAAAAAATTGTCGACGTACACCAAGTACAGTCCAAACAGCCTTCCTTTTTTCCCACGAGCCTTCTTGCCGGCATCCAAAGCGGTCCCAGAGCCGAGGCGACAGTTTACGGCAAAGGGTTACCCAGGGAGCGTTCACAGCATGTCACAGCATTCGGCTGGCGAGCGGATGTTGGGAAGGTGAGTCGGCGAGGATGTCGCTCAAAGGCGGCAACTCCCCGTCGACATTGGCCGTGCCAGAAAGGGGCAACGACAGCAGGCCGGCTGCAAAAGAGCGCGCAGCAGCGAAGAAGAGGAGCGCAAACCACCGGAGCGTGTTAGCCGAGATGGCGACAGCCCGTTAAGGCAGTGGTGCAGACCGCGCCGCGCGGCACCTTGCAAGCAGGCGGACAAAGGTAGTGGCCTCGGGACTCCAGCGCCCGCCAATCTCAAGCGCAATGACAGTGAGCCGGCAGCCGTTGTTGCACCTGCACAATTCGATGACTCAGGGTGTACGTTACGCTCGTCTCGAAGTGAGCAAAGCAGGTCCGCTGTACGGCCCCCAGCCCGCTGTCAGGTGGGGAGACGACCGTGGTGTCGACGGCGAGCTGGCAGGGCGCGGCGGTGCCCGTGCAACCCCGGGAACGGAACGGAACGCGAACGAGAACGCCACGCAGATTCTCAGAAAAGGAGGCCAGGCAGATCTCCAGTTTACTGAAACCACCTCAATGATGTTTAGCAGGTCGGGAAAATTCATTGGCCAGTTGTGGCATGCAGGGGGGACGGCAAGAACCGAAAAAAATACAGTTCGGCAGCCAGCACGGGCCTCCGGTGTTGTTTCCACTTGTTTTGCACGTTACCTGCAAACCTCCTCCATGAACGTAGAGCCGCAACCATGCACGGGGTATGCGGCCAAAAAAAAAGAAAGAAACTCAGCCCTGAGCACGGCTGAGTAGAGAATGTTTTTGTTTTTTTCTCTCGCACCTTCCCAGCGGCAGCTCTGCGCCGTCGCTGGCGTCGCAGGGCCGAATCGGCAGCTCCATCAGGCTCTGCGCGTGTGCGCAAAGGGCTGCGAGCGCTGCGAGTGCGGTCCAGCGGCTCGTGAGTGCGGCGATGGCTGCGGCCCGTGCCCACGGGACCCGATCCCGGGCGCGAGCGCGAGCAAGCCGGCGGAGCAGCGCAACCGCTTGGCGATCGAAGCGTCCGCCGACCTCCAGGCCGAACACCACCAAACGGCATCGCGCCTGCCCGCCTGGTTGGAGCTCGGGGTAGGTGCGGAACTTACGCGCTTTGGCTTGCTGCAGGGCCAATGCGGGTCGCGCATGAGCCCCTGGGCGCGGGAGTCCATCCCGCTGGACGGGGCTGACCAACGTCGTGTCGATCGCGATTTGCGCGCTTCTCCAAATTGGGAAGCCGTTCGCGACGACCTCGATTCTCCGGCCGTCCGTGGCGGGGGCGTCTATAGGTTGAGCTCCCGCAAAGCGACGTTCGTGGCGACCCGCGCTCCGGCTTCCCGGCAGATGTGCGCCACGGCGCGTTCCAGCGGCCCCGCTCTCCGTTCGAGGACCCCGACTTGGGCGCAAGAAGAGCGGAGGTCACCCAGCTGTCGAGGCGTCCGCCGCAGCGACATCGCTTGGGCGTCAGCGGGAGTGCGAGCCGGAGCCTAGCAACAGGACTCTGAACTCTTCGCTCGGCACGACGAAGTCCGGTCCGGTGGGCAGTACGGTGAGTGCACAGCTTGCGCCTTCGCCACTTCATGGGACAGCAGCAGCGCTCGGGATGCGGTACAGTATGATAGTCAGCGAAAAGCATCTCGAACGCGCGCTTGTCTACAGCAGTCTGGCACTCCGTTGCCACCCCCGGCGTGACTTGAGGGAGCTGTCTTCCTCCCCTGCCGGGCTCGCCCCGACCGTACCGTCCAGCAGGTTGGTCCAGCTTGGTGCTTGGAAGCCACGCAGTCTCAGGGACTGCGCGGGAGGCGGCGTGCCGGGAAGGGCTAGGTCCGTGAAGGGTCGTATGAGGTTGGCGAGCGTTCCGGGGTGGCATTTNNGCATTTTCTCAGCGCGCCAACCGTGTTGGCCCAGGATGCCCAGTAGGCCGCCTGCCTGTGCTCTCTTGCCGAGAGAGACCCAGACCTCCCATTCGCAGGGGCAGCTG